GCCACAGGTTATCTATTCACCTACTGAAGGGCATTTTGATTGCTTCCAAGTTTTGGCAATTATGAATAGAGCTGCCATAAACATCTGAAAGTTCCTGTTTTTCTGCATCCTCTTTAGCATTTAGTGTTGTCAATGTTCCAGATTTTGTCTATTCCAATAGGTATCTGGTGGTATCTCATTGTTGTTTTAACTTTCATTTCCCTGATGACATGTGATGTGGAACATCTTTTCATATACTTATTTGCCATCTGTATGTATATTTTCTTTGGTGAGGTGTCTGTTAAGGTCTCTGGCTCATTTTTAAAAGTGGTCTGTTTGCTTTCTTATTGTTGAGTTTTAGGAGTTCTTTGTAAATTTTGGGTAACAGTCCTTTATCAGATGTGTCTTTTGCAACTATTTTTTTCACAGTCTATGGCTTGTCTTCTCATTCTCCCCCCCCCCCTCTCTCTCTCTCTCTCTCTCTCAGAATGGAAGGGAGGGTGAGAGACAGAGAGAGAGAAACATCCAATGTGAGAGAGGCATCAATAAATTGTCTCCTGACCAGGGCCAGGAATCTAGCCAGCAACCGAGGTACATGCTCTTGACCAAAATTGGACGAGACCCTTTAGTCCATGGACCGACATTCTATCCACTGAGCCAAACTGGCCAGGGCTGTCTTCTCATTCTTTTAACATTGTCTTCTGCAGAGGTGAAATTTTTAATTTTAATGAAACCACTTTATCAATTATTTCTTTCATGGATTGTGCCTTTGGTGTTATATCTCAATATTCATTGCCATACCCAAGTCATTTAGGTTTTCTCCAACATTACCTAGGAGTTTTAGAATGTTGAATTTTACATTTAGGTTTTTTTCAATACATTTTGAGTTAATTTTTGGGAGGGGTATACGATATTTCTCTTGATTCAGTATTTTGCATATGGATGGTCCAGTTGTTCAGCACCATTTATTGAAAAGATTATCTTTGCTCCATTATATTGTCTTTGTTTCTTTGTCAAAGATCAGTGACTATATTTATGTGAGCCTATTTCTGGGCTCTCTGTTCTCTTTCATTCAGCTATTTGTCTATTTTTCCCCCAGCACAACACTATTTTGATTATTGTAGTAAGTTTAAAATTTTTTTTTATTTATTTCAGAGAGGAAGGAAGAGGGAGAGAGAGATAGAAACATCAATGATGAGAGAGATTCATTGATCAGTTGCCTCCTGCACGCTCCCTACTGGGGATCGAGCCCGAAACCCGAGCATGTGCCCTTGACAGGGATTTGAACCATGACCTCCTGGTTCACAGTCAACGCTCAACTACTGAACCAAGCTGACCTGGCAACTGTAGTAAGTCTTGATGTCTATTAGTGTCAGCCTCCAACTTTGTTGTTCTTCTTCAATATTGCATTGGCTATTCTGAGTTTTTTGCCTCTTTATGTAAACTTTAGTATGGGTTTATTTCTACAAAATGACCTCCTGGGATTTTGATTGGAATTGCATTGAATCTATAGATAAAATGTGGAAGAACTGACATTTTGACAATGTTGAATCTTCACACTTTTGACTCTTTTTTTTTAAAAAAAAAGTATATTTTATTGATTTTTTACAGAGAGGAGGGGAGAGGGATAGAGAGTTAGAAACATAGATGAGAGAGAAACATCGATCAGCTGTCTCCTGCACACCCCCCACTGAGGATGTGCCCACAACCAAGGTACATGCCCGTGACCGGAATCGAACCTGGGACCCTTGAGTCCACAGGCTGATGCTCTATCCACTGAGCCAAACCGGTTAGGGCTACACACTTTTGACTCTTGATGTGTTCCTTTCTCTTCATTCGAATTTGAAGATAAAACCCTTTAAGTTCTTCTTCATAGGGCATATCAATTACTTTAATTTTGTCCACTGGTTTCCATTGATTAATTTGTTAGTCTCTTCTTTGTGCTACCGTTTAACACTCAACATTAAAATTCTCGCAGTTCCTTAAAGAAATGCAGGAAGAATCTTTTTATTCCTTCTGATTTTGTTAGGGTACTGTTGAATCCAATTCCTTGCCCTTCCTGGACAACCTCTATCTTATTTAAATGACTCATATAAAGGCAGCATGTGGTACTGTAGTCCTGTATGGTTTGGGCTGAATTTCAAATCTACTGTTCATTAGTTATATGATTTCAGACAAGCCCCTTAATAACTGTAAGCCTCATTTTCTCCATCTTCAAAAAGGCAAAGGCATACCCGTCTGTCAGGGTTGTATTTAGTTAGAGAATATATTTCTTAAGCCCCTGTTAGGTGGTAATTGCCCAATAAATTATAATGCTCCTCTCTAGGCACATGCTTCAGAAAGACAAGAGAAAGATTTAACTAAAGTCCATAGTCTTCATTGGGGCTCTCGCTTTGTGTGGTACAGTTCTAGGATTTTGCTAAATGCATAATGTCACGTACCTACCAGTACATTCTCACAGAGAATAGTTTCACTGCCCTGAAATCTCCTTAGAGGGAGAAAGGTGATGAAAAGTTTTATATTCCAGGTTAAAAACTTGGGTTTTATACAGTAGGCTAGCAGTCTCCAACTATTTTTGTTCACATACCTTTAAAAGAATTTTGAAAAACTATGTAACCACTCACACATTACCAAGTTAACATCTACAGTTTTTCACCTGTGGTAAAATATGTACTTGCAAAGAATTTAATTTCTACCCTATTGGAACTATTGGACATTTTAAAATAAAACTTGTATCAACTATTTTAAGAATACTCAATGGAATCTAAATCCACAGTAATTTAATAAAACCATTATTCATTTAAATAATAATGAATAGACTCTTCTGTGAAAAGCTGAAAAATTTACATTACTATTTTATTTTCTTGACCTGTATTTCCATCTCACTTCCTCATAGAATTTTTATGTGATATTTTTATAGTTAAAAGTCTTTAACTGTTTCTCTATCATACTTCTCTTAACAAAAATGTAAGGAATTAATTGAAATTTTAAAATTATGAATTTTCTGTGACCCTAGGGCAATCTACTGTAGTAATATTTGGGATATATGAGAGTGTCCCTTTCTTCTGTGAAGTAAAAGGAAGGTTGTTGTGAATAAAGCATCGCTGTTAGCCGGATATGAATAAAGAGTTTATGTAGAAGAGAATTTGGAAATTGACTCCATTAAAACTATCCATTCAATTGCTAACTAAAAGAAACCAGTCTGAAGAGGCTATAGTGTATGATTCCAACTATATGACATTCTGAACAAGGCAAAACTATAGAGACAGTAAAAAGACCAGTGATTCCAGGGGTTGTATAGGGGGAGAGGAGTAAGTGAAGCGCATTCTTTAAAATTTTTTTAAACAAATGTATTTTCTGCTTCACATTCTATGCTCCAGCAAGAACTGCTTGAAGTTCTATGTCATGCTTTTCCATGCCTGTTTGTCTTTATTGTCTTATTCTTTGCCTTCTTTGCCTCACTGCCTTCTACTCTTATTTTAAGATGCAGAAGTCTCCGTTGAAGAATTACTTATTATACCTTTACTTCATATTGTCTCAGATGCCTGTGTTTCATATGCTCCCTCACTACTCTCCTATAGTCTCCCTTATTACATGAACACATTTTTTTTTGTAGTTAAGTTTTCTTTCCCCTCTGAAATTGGACTGGAAGATCTCTAAGAGTAGGACTTACATATTATCTTTGTCTTTTCAGCAACTGGCTATGTACTTCTCCTGGTAATAAGTTCATTTATTGGATAAATATTAATTATTGAATGAAACAAGGCAAAGTGGATTTCAATTGTTAGAAAGTTAATTAATTCTTGTGCACAACTCTTTTGGGTCAGTTAAACTGTAAAAGGCTATTTTTGTTTTATGCTAGTTATTTTTCTGGCTTATGGTAAGGTTTCAGTAAGATTTCACATGAAGATAGGATTTTGAACTTAAAAATGAATTTGAGAGCCAATCTTGTGCTAGAAAGAGCACACCATTGTGAGCAATAAGGGAAGGACTCTGGTTTTAACCCTTGTGACATGGGAAGTTAACCAACCTGGGAGTCCACTTTCTCAACTATAAAATGAGTTAGTGACCAAATTATTTCTGAAGTTGCCTTTATTGTGAATTTAACCAAGGGAGGAAATTTTAATAAAGCAAACATATGATTATTCTTGGCTAAAAGAAAAAAAAATGTGACCTTGATTTATTTTCTAATCATTCCTACTGTGGATATTGTATGTGGCATATGTGTGTAATGCTGACCTAGTTCATATCATCTGCAAACATCATGACTTAGAGTTTATCCTTAATCTGAAAAATATATAAAGTAAAATAATTATAATTATTTTTAATTATTTATAATTATAATTCTCAGGATTAAAAATCTAGTAGTAGTTAATATAATATGTTGATTCATATAATTTAAGCTATGTTTTAGCTTTTTTCACCAAATACATAATTTGATCTTTATTAATATTATACTTTCCAGTGCATTTCTATAATTCTGGAACACAATATTTCTTTGTGTTCCATTACTCATTAGGATTTTGAACTAAAAAATGCAACCTTTTTCAATGAGGAGCATTCACAACTATGGCAGAAAATGCTTTTCTATATCTTTTGCTCATTCACAATATGTAGGAATTGTAGTAATTCAGTTCTGTGAAGATTGATGGAATGATATTTAGGTCTGACTTTTATAAAGGGTTTGAGATTATGTTGTTTGGCCAAAACAAAGGCAGTATTTCCTTTCTTGTCTTCCACCGTGCCCAGCCCCCCTTCTTTCCACCTGCTTGAGGAAAACGATTTCTTCAGACAAACCTCATAATTGCCCTTCTGTGCCTGATTTGGGCCTCAGGAAAGGCCCATAGCATCTGTAAAGCTGGCAGCAAAATGGTATTTCCAGGCAGGCACAGGGTTGCTGGGTAGTGAGCCAATCCCCAGCTTTGTCTGAGCAGCTGAGAACTTTGCCTGCGCATTACCACGGTGTTCAGTAACACAGACCTGTGCCATGAGCAAGTAAAGCCCGGAGCAAGTGTCAGGGTCAATATTTATAGACCACTACGTAGCTTGCCTTGCAAAGAGAGACAACGAGAGACGCGCACACAGAGGGCAAGGAAAGAAAGACTGCCGTGCAGGGGGACGTTCATTTCTAATGTTTGTTTTAAATTAAAAAAGTTCTTTTTAACTGTCAGGTTCAAACCTCTGCTGAATCATAACCATTTGCCGCTGAGCTATGACAAGAGAGGAAACAAAAAGTTAGACGAGCAAGCCTGCCCTAAGTGAGAAGGTAAGTAATTAGCCAGCTCAGTCTCGCTTTTACTCGTAAACTCCATCTCCCTGTTGGCTGCTCTGCATCAGGGCGCATAGGGCTGTGCAGCGTGTGAACGCCAAGAGGGGGGCTGCCTGCTGTTTGAGACTGTTCTGGGTGGAGTGTAGTTTTGTGTGCTGTTCTTAAGAATGCTGTGTGCGTTCATAACACGCTTAAATAACGTGGGCGGTGGGACTAGGACGCCAATTTCATGGTGTGTCCTATCAGCAAGTTTCTGTTTCTTCATTCTGTCAAACTTGTGGTCTTCCTGTTGATAAATTCCTATTTGCTTTCTACCAGATTTAGAACATGAGTATTAGTACATTTCTGTAGCCTGTGGTCTAGACATGGAGTAGGGGGAAATTCAGGTGAACATGTGAAGATGAAGTAGTAGACCTTGTCAAAATGCCCACACTCACGCCCCTCTGACAGTGTCCCGGAGTGAAATGATGGTCCTTGTGGGAACAGAGAGAACGAGTGATGGAAACTAGGAACAGTCTCCTTAATCCACGGGGCAGAGGACTCCGCATGTAGGCGAGCTTCTCAGCTTGTCCAGTGACTTGTGAGACTGGTTCTTACAAAAGGCAATTCTCTACTAAAGATGTTGACTTAACATCCCTTGCTCTACACATTCATAGTTTGTTTGTTCCATTCGTCACACGTAGCACTTTTACACACGCTTCTGGGGTGCTCAGTGCTGGAGTATGTTCATTTAACATCATTGCTTTGCGTATCCCAGGTTAACACGAAGAGCAATGGTGCTGAAGGGGGCAGAAAAATAGTTTTTGATGTATTGTCTGATTTAGAAAACTCATGGGATGTATAAACCTATGTTCTATATCTACTACACATAGCTTGGAAGGTAACGATGTTGCTTTGCTGGAAGTATGGTGTTCTCTTGATGAGACTTATCTACTGATGCAGTGAAAACTTCCTTGTGGCTGTGAGTTTGTTTTTTTTTATTGTGGAAGATAAGCATTATCATGATTATTTAAAATTTTTAGGTTAGGTTATACATACCAGATGATTACATAATTCCAAAGGATTTGACTTTGGGTGGTGGGCATACAAGGCAATATACAGGTCATGTATCATGGAAATGTGCACTTGAAACCTATAAAATCTTATTAACCAACGTCACCCCAATAAATTTAAAAAAGGAATTTCTGGATTACATATTTAAGTTAAAAACAAAATAATCTTAAAGTTGCTGTACAGCTTGACTGTGGGCCAAAAGACATACAAAGAAAAGCGGATACGCTGGCACAGGTTTGTGTTAGGGCTGATACACAGGAGCCAGCTCATTCTAAAGTGAGATAAACTCCAGAGCAGCAGCTGGAACAGGTCTACATGTCATCAGATGAGGCCAGTGGTTGTAGAGCATCTCTTCTGAAAATGACATATAATTTTTAAAGTAATGCAAAATGTTTTAAAATCAATTTTATTAATTCAAAAATGCTTTAAGGCTAATTTAATATCTAAATTGAAACTATATTTTAACCTTCATTTAATGCTTGTGTTAGCCTCTGTATCAAGGCTAAATCAGGCTTTTCCTTTGTACTTTTTTAAGCTCTGCATACCAGTTTATTAATGAGTTTGATTTAGATTTTTGACAATAATATATTTATTTTGAAAATGTAGCCATGATTGATCTAGAATGGGCATTTCTTAATTAAATTTTTCTTTTCTACTGCCTCTGGGTAATATCTCATGATCAAGATTCTAAGTTCAGTTCTTAATTCAATATCTTCTATTTATTCACTTTATACATCGTATAAATATATGATATTGCTTGCTTATGCCTTTCTTATTGGTCTTATTTTTATTCCATCTGGTATGTTGTTCCTGAGGTACTGTGTGGAAATTTTTGGTGGAAACAGGCCAAATAAAATTACTTCAATAAAAAGAAACTAAAGAAAGTTGTCCCTTGAATTAAGAGAAAAAATATAAAATTGTGACATTGGTTGACAATGTCTAAAATGTAATATATTTTCATTGAAGGTTGGTTGAGCATAATAAAACTTGAAATGCCTTAATATATTTTGGCTTTAATGTTAATCTGATATTGGTTATTTATCACATTTGTAAATAACATTTTATATATAGATATATTATAAAAATGATACGAGGCCCTTTGTATCTTGTGTTAGCTATTGAAGCAAGATTAGTGAATTTAGCTTGAAATGTTAATTAAAGCTACCCTCCTAATGGATCTCACTGCCCCTAGTCTCATACTCTCATTCCATCTGCTGTATGACCCTTAAAGGGGTCAACCCCCACACCATGACCACTTCACTGTCCATGACCACTTCACTGTCAGGGTACTTGGTACAGTGAGTCTCTTCTTGATCCCACTGCTACTTTTATTCTGCAGTCTCCTTTTGCTCTTCTTTCTGGGTTATTTTCTACATCTCTCTTGCCCACATGAGAGTATTCTCCTTTTCTCTGCCTTATGCTCCAGCGATATTGAACATCTTGTATTTCTCAAAACAATCCATACAGTTTTGCCCTTTCCTGGAGTATTTTATGGTGCTCCCTATACCTTGAAAACCCCCTTTCTAGTCTCTGCCTTTCAATCATAATGAAGGCATCCCTCCCCCGCATCCCTGCTGGTCCACTGTCCGCCTCTGTGGTCTGGCCTCCTGTATAGACCCTCTGTCACAGAACTTTGAAAGTCTGATATGTTTTGTGTTTCTTTTTCAACACGAGACTGCAAGCTACTCGTAGCCAGGCTATAATTTTTTTTTTAATGTTGCTCCAAGATCTAGCACAGCACAGACACTCAGAACTTGAACTAAAGAAAAACTTTATTATGTTGATCTTAAACCGCCTTTTCTCTTTTTAAAATTTTATTTTTTTCTGTCATCATATATCCCCTCCATGTCCTCTTCCACCTCCACCCCTGCAATCATCACACTGTTGTCCGTGTCCATGAGTTTTCTCTCTTTTTTATTTTTTGCTCAATTCCTCCCCACCCCAACCCTCACCTGTCTGCCTGCTCTCTATTCACATGTCTTTATTTTGCTTGGTAGTTCAGTTTGAGTGAAATTCCACATATGAGTGAAACATATGGTACTTGTCTTTACCTGACTGGCTTATTTATTTAGCATAATATTCACCAGGTCCATCTATGCTGTTGCAAAGGGTAAAATTTTCTTTCTTTTTATGACAGGGTAGTATTCCATTGTGTAAATGTACCATAGCTTTTTTATCCACTCAACTACTGATGGAAACTTGGGTTGCTTTCAAATCTTGGCTATTGTCAACAATGCTGCAATGAACATAAGGGTCCATATATTCTTTCAAATTAGGGTTTCAGGTTTCTTTGGATAAATTCCCAGAAGAAGAATCACTGGGTCATAAGGTAGTTGCACTTTTAATTTTTTGAAGAAACTCCAGACTGCTTTCCACAGTGGCTGCACCAGTCTGCATTCCCACAAACAGTGCACTAGGTTCCCTTTTCTCCACATCCTTGCCAACACTTGATGTTTGCTGATTGATTGATGATAGCCTTCCTGACAGGTGTTAGGTGACACCTCGTTGTGATTTTAATTTGCATTTCTCTGACAATTAGTGACATTGAGTATTCTTTCATATATCTATTGGCCATCTGTATGTCTTTCTTGAAGAAGTGAATATTCAGGTCTTTTGCCCATTTTTAAAATTGGATTGTTTGTTTTTTTGGTGTTGAGTTTTGTAAGTTCTTTATAAATTTTGGATTATATCTCTTTGGTCAAGGGAAACAACAAAATAAATAAACAAATGGTAGTACAACAAAGGAAAGAGTTGTTGCACCAGCAAAGGAAAACATCAACAGAATTAAAAGACAAACCACTGAATGGGAGAACATATTCGCCAATGATACATCTAATAAGGGGTTAATATCCCACACTGTCTTTTCTTTATAGACTTTTATTTTAATATGCTTTTAAACTTTGATTAATTGGATTGCAGGAATGCCCCTCAAGTAGATGATAAGTGCTTTTGAAACAATAACAATGATTTAAATTTTTTATTTTGTTTCTCTTTCTACCACCAATCACAGTAACGGAAGACAGTGTTACACCTTTGAAAGGCCCAGAAAGAGTTTCAGGAGATACTAGGTCCATCCTCATGTAGCTACAGAATTACAGAGTGGAATGGCTCCCACTGTTACTGATAAAAGTATATACTACCTAATTATATTTACTACTAGGGGCCCAGTGCATGAATTCATGCACCTTGAAAGGAATTGTGGGCCATGAGGCTGCAGTAGGCACAGGGGCAGGTCTCAGCCCATCCTCTGCGCCCCTGCCCAGCCTCTCCCACCACGGCCCCTGGTCCCCTGTCTGCCAGCAGCCTCGCTCCCGCCCCTGCTCACCTGCTCCACCATCCCGCTGTGGTCGACGCCCGCCATGTTCCTCGCATGGCCCCTGGTGGTCAGCGCACATCATAGTGACCGGTTGTTTGGTTGTTCTGGCTCCACCGTTCAGTCTATTTGCATATTAGCCTTTTATTATATAGGATTGTAGAGATAGTAAGGGATTTTTGAAGAAATAATAGAAAATCATGGTTTAAAAATTCTCAAATCTTAAAGGGGATATTTCATTTCAATTAGGAGAATTTGCTCCTCACAATAGAAATGTTGAAAGAAAAGGATGTCAGTGATTAAAAAAAGTACGTAAGAAACAGCAGCTGTTTCTTTTAGTTCTGATATTCAATAAAAACAAAATTTATTTTGCCTTTAATTGTGTTTTATTTTCCTACCATACATAAAATACTTACTTTGAATATGAAATATTTCATAAACCAGAAACAAATGTAAAGCTTCATGCACAATTTAGAGTGATTCACAACCTTTAATTTGATTATTTTTATTTCTTAGTGCATGCGACCAGCAGTTTCCACTACTGTTGAAACCTTATAAACCTCTCCCCGACATTGAATATGACTCTTTTGTTTGTTTAACCTTGAATTGTATCTGTCTTAGGAATGAAAAC